TATGAATGGCTTCGAATCAAAGAGCAATCAAGTCGGACTTTGAGGCGTGATATCACTTTCCTTAAGGATTTATTTGCCCCACAATTGTTGCTAATGGTCACCGGCAAAAATCCTCCAGGATACAACAAAGTCTCAAAATGAGAATACTAGATAGCAATTCTAGTATTTCTCCAGGGTCTCTCTACGAAACAAAGAAATGATGACTGTAGTTTTCAAAAGAAGACTTGAAGAAATTGATCTCTCTTTTCTTTCTTGCCAAAAACTGACATATATAGAAATCGGTCTTAAAGAACATTGGCAACTCTTCACGAAAGGTTGCAAAGCTAACAAAAATATTCCTTCGGAAGAAGTTGCAAACTGAATAGATGCAACCCTTCGGAAAAGATTGAAAACTGAACAAGTATAATTTTCAAAAGTTGTCTTGGAAAGACACATGTAAAATTCGGAATAAAATAAATAAATATATAATTCCGAATTTTCATAATTTCGAAAATTACTTAATAAACAAAAAACAACCTTTCAAATAATAAAAAATTAATAAGACAACCTTACGAAATAAGATAAAAATATAAAGGGAATTGTGCTAATTAAACCGCGGCCGCGCAAGCGTGCAAAGTGCTAAGTGCGCCTAATAATCGCGCCAAAATCGCGCAATTATTCGTGCACCCGCACGCGGGTATTGTGTGGACTAGCACACATCCCATTGTCTTCACTCTAAAGAGCAAGAAGATATTCACAGTTATAAAGTGGCCCACTTTCTCAAAACTTTCCTACGTGGGACAAAGGAAAATGCACTATTTTGTTTGTTTTACAAACAAACAACCAACAACACCGACTCGGTGTCTTCAATCGAGAGTCCCTAACCTTCAGTGCTTCACCCACAAGAGCCGAGCTTTGAATCTCGCCGAGTTGCGAAGTCCTGAACTCCTGCAACTTGCGAAGCCTGGAGCCTTCACCTATGACCTATTAGCTTAAGTTTTCGGATTCGACACTCTAATAGTATCAGAATTAGCTTTTGCCTAAGTTTATTTCGCATGTGTGACCTTATTTGTCAATTCCACGATAATGTCTTACATTCATTTAATCTCCCTTTATCTATTAACTTCAATTTTTGTATTGTACTTTTTAACACATAATGGTAATATCTCAAAGCCACCGTGTGATTCTATTGGGCTTAAAACTAGTAGACCAATAAAAAAAGCAAGGGAATGTGTTTTGTCATTTCCAATGCTTGAGAAGGAAAATTATATCATTATATTGATTGACAATGATGGGCTCTTGATTTGTGGTCTCTAACCTAAGGAAATTTCCTAAACTTGACAATGATTTCAACCCTAAAAGAAGGGAAAATTATATCATCAAATTGATTGGTGATAATTGATTGAACGCTTTCTCTTATATTTAAAAAATTTAACATCGGAAGCAAACCAAGGACTAGATATTATTAGTTGTAATTGATGGGATGTTGATCTTTTTTTTTATTGATTTTTATTTTGATCCTAACCAAGAAACGTTACCAGAAAAACCATTCTGTGGCGACAAAAGTATTTTGGTTGCAAAACGAGAGAAATTGATTGCGAAAATGTATCACTACCAAAATATTGATAGCGAGGAATTAGTAGCCAAAAGTTAGACGGTAAAGCCTTTGACGACAAAAAATTGTGGCGGCCAAAGAGAACTAGGACATTCTTTTTTGTCCTTTCTGGCAACCAAATGTTGTAAAATGTTTCTAATCTAAAAGTGAGTTTGTTTCGCGAAAAATGAATAATTTTAAAATATATATTTTTAAAAATTATTGTTTGTATCACTTGAAATAATTAGTCAATAAAAAATATATTCATTACCGACAAAAAATTATGTTTAAACATTTTAGGGGATGTTGAAAATATCTTTAATGCATTTATTTTTGTAAGTGATAGAAGCGATCATTTTCGAAAAATGTTTTCAAAATCATTCATTTTCCGCGAAACAAACGGAACCGGAGCTAAGGTTACAATTACAAACAAATCCCTATCGCCATTGTCACCTTTGTCGCCACTGCACTCTCTCTCTCTCTGGCTAGAACCCATATCGAGAGAGGTATCGCATCTATCGCCGGTAAATGTGTTTGGTCCGCAACGAGCACCAAAGAAAGTGGACAGGGATAGTGCAATTGTCTAGAGCTTCCTTGTTGGATTATGCTTGTGTCAATGCTCTAAAAGAGTAGTCTTCAACATTCGGGAGAAAATGGTCCAAAAAGTCCGAAACTATTGTACTTTTGCCAATTGAGTTATAAACTTTTTCACGTTTTGTCAATTGAGTCCATCAGGCTAATTTTAATCGGAAGTCGCTGATGTGGGTGCCGATAGTGCCACGTAGTACGGCAGATGTTGACGTGGATAATTTTTAATTATATTTTAATTTTTTTAATTCGAGGGTTGGTCACAGGCGAGGGTCGACGGACCCTCGCCGAACTTGGAAGAAGAAAAAGAAAAATAAATAAATAAAAGACCCTCGTTGGTCATCGGTGAGGGCCGGTCGACCCTCATTGAAGTTGGAAGAAGAAAAAGAAAATTATCCACGTTAGTGCCGGCCGTGCCAAGTAGGACAGCTGGCGTCCATGTCAGAATTCCTGACTAAAATTAGCCGGATGAATTCAATTGGTAAAACGTGAAAATATTAGAAATTAATTGGTAAAATTGAAAGGTTGAGGATTGAATTGGCAAAAATGCAATAGATTTAGGACTTTATTGGACAATTTTCCCCAACATTCGGCTCCACGTTTGAAGAAATCTTATGGGAAACATTCAATCATACAAACTATCAAATAAGATGACTTTCAAGTAAATTTCTGTAGCTTTATTTAATTTCTTTAGGAAAATAATACTATAAATTTTTTTGCGGATATGATATTTGTGTAGGAGATTCTATGAAACTAAATTTTAGATAGACCATGTGTATGCTACAAAAGGAAAAAAATCAATTCCAAAATTCATGTGACTATCTCACTAGTGGTGTGCCCTAAAACCACGAACGACAGCATTGACGACACGAGCTGTGGGGTCGCATGTAGGGGTGAGCAAGATGGACTGCCCAAATGGGAACCGGACCGTACCGGATCGGATCGACCGGTTTGGTCCTGTTCTCGGGAATATCGTTCCGGTTCCCGGCTCCTAAAAATAGAACCGGGTTTTCGGGTGATCTAGCTCCTGGTTCTAGGGTGGGAACTGGACCAGACTGATAAATATATATTTTTCTAATTTTTTCATATATATATTTATTTACTTTTAAAATTTTTTGAAAAAAATAGGAAGCCTAATCTAATTTCCTCAATTCCCTTTTGCCTTTACCAATAAGTGATCGGTCCCATTGGAACCGGACCGGTGGTCGGGTTCGGTCCACGGTCCCAAGACTAGCTGGTCCGATCCCCGGTCCTAGAAACTGGGAACCGGTCCTCCCAGTCCGGTTCCCGGTTTTTGGGTTGGACCGGACCGGACCGAGAACCGCTCACCCCTAGTTGCATGGACCATTGCCGAATAGCAAATACAAGGGAAAAGGGAATCAAACATTTTCCCCACGTGTTTAAGCCCTTCCTTGGTGTGTGTTTTCAATTTTTGTTTTTTAGATTTTTTGGATAGGTTGGTGTTTCTTTGCCATGCTTTACCAAAAAAATTTCAAATCTATTACAATTGTGCAAATTTAATACTAAACATTTTTTTTGTGCTAATAGAATCCTAAATCTTTTGCATTTGTACCAATTAAGTTCATTCGGCCAATTTTGGCCTACCAGCGTTGACATAGCACGGCCGACGTGGATAATTTTTAATAATATTTTTATTTTTTTCGATTTATTTTTATTTTTTCCTATTTTTTCTTTTCTTTTCTTCCCCCCTTCTTCTTCCTCCAGCCGGTCGCTGGACCTCGACGATGGCCGATGAGCCTTGCCTGCCCTTGGCGAGGCTCGACCTTGCCGTCGCTAGGCGAGGTTGGCCTCGGCATGGCTGGGCAAGGTCCGAACTTGCCAGATCTAGCCACTGGCGAGGCTCAACCTCGCCCAGCGATATTGAGCCTCGCTCGGCCATGGCGAGGCGGACCTTGTGTCTGCGTTGTCTTCATCTCTTCGCTTGTGTCTCCTTCACTCCTCGACTTGAAATCGCCCACAACGTTCAGTGCCCAGCGATTTCACAGAACATTCGCATACCATGGCAGCAATTTTATCTGGCGAGTTTCGACCTCGCCAAACCATGGCGAGGCCGACCTCCCCCAATGATGGTGAGGCTCGCTCGAGGCCAGCAAGGTTGACCTCGTCGGCCTTTGCCGAGGTCCGACGACCGACTGGAGGAAGAAGAAGGGGGAAGGAAAAAAAAAGAAAGAAAAGAAAAAGCGAAAATAAAAATAAAAAGTTCGAAAAATATTATTAAAAATTGTGCACATCGGTTCCAGCTGTGCCACGTCAGCTTCGGCAAGCCAAAATTGCCTGGATGGATTGAATTGACATAAATACAAAAAGTTTATGACTCAATTGGCATAAAAAAAACTTATTATTGAATTGGCACAATTACAATAGGTTTAGGACTTTTTGGTAATTTTCCCCTCACAATTCCGGTGTCTGAAAAGCCGATCCCGAAATCGATGCTCGTCAGATTATGAATAAATAGATGTTATGGTAATTCATTTAGGAACTTTAGTTGCGATGGCAAGCCTAATTCAAGTTACGATAGTATTGTCTGTTGTTGTGATCGTTCGCAAATCCTCGATCAAAGAGCGCAACGAGACGGCCTTCACCTTAGCAGGAATTATATATATGCAATGTAATGCTCGATGAAATGAGTATAGGCGCGATATCACCGGTTCGATTCCAATGTCTTTCATTTGAACTAAATAGAGAAGAGGGACAGGTGAACAATGAAAACAAGTGACTCCAAGGTCCTTAGTGCTCGAGGTCTTTCCGCGTGGGACCCCGTATTCCTCTTCCGTGCGAAAGAGTAAGACAAGGCGCTATAAATAAGAAGGCCAAAACCAGCTTTACCATCACAGCACACGAGAGAAAAAACACACCAAACGAAGAGATCGATTTTGGGGGAAAGCGGCAGAGAAGAAGATGAGAGTGGAGACTGGTAACAAGATGGCGTTGATCGCCGCGTTTCTGGGCTTCGTCTTCTTGGAATACGGCTCTCTTCTGTGCATGGCTCGAGGCAATGTCCAGCACTACGATTTCGTGGTAAGTGTGCTGATGGTGACGCAGACGGCGTCTTTGTCTCAAGGCACTTTGAGTTTGAGTTGCTCATGTATGCTTACACGAGAAGAAATGCGTAAGAGACGATGAGGGTTTCTCTTTTGTTGTTGCTGCAGCTGAAGGAAACCAACTTCACGAGGTTGTGTACGACCAAGAGCATGCTGGTGGTGAACGAGAGCTGGCCGGGGCCGGTGATCCGGGTTCACAAGGGCGACACCGTCTTCGTCACCGTCCACAACCACGGCACCTACGGCGTCACCATCCACTGGTAAAAAAATCTCTCTCTCTCTCTCTCGGGGACATAATGTCCTATACGGTAAACACGCGGCTCATTATTATGCGGTAATCAAATCAAAACAATATGCGATAAATCGCTCCCCGGCAATAATATTTACGTTTTGTCGTTGCTTAGACTTTAATATGTGATTTACAAAGGAGGACATGTATTGTTGTAGACTGTAGAGCATAGTGCATTGATGCTCAAGGACAAAAGCAGAAGGACCCCTACCATCTTCCCCTTCTCTTCTTTCAAGTGGAGTCTCAACTTGGTGCTGTCTTTCTGCTTCACAGAAAAAGACAGTTCTGTCGTACGAAGCCCCCATTTTCCTCCATAGATTCGAAAAATAATTTCCTAACCTTTCCTCTTTCTTGTTCCTCTTTTGTGGAAATAACTGTACTGCATGTCTGGTCATCAAAATCCATAATACTCCCACAGCTTCGTCACATGAACTAGGCTTTGTGTGTGTAGGACCTGTGGCTGCATCAAAAGCAGGGAAAAAGTCATCTGTATATGTGGTTACCCACCACAATGTAAACATCTAGCTAATTGGGTCACTAAAGTAGGAATTAGCTATGCTGTTTCTTTTTTCCCTCCAATGGCTACAATCCGCCTAAAGAATATATTCCCATGATCAAAGGGGACTAATCATCAATCCTTCCCAGCAATATTCAACTGGTGGCCTATATAGTTCACAACTCAACGCTCTCGTCCACCCTACTTATTATTCATTTAATTATGATAAATCAAAATTGAGCTCTTCCCAAAAGTTTAAATCGTCAATACTTCTTGACCATGTGATTGATTCATGTGAATTTGGCCATGACATGCGTAACCACATCAAACGAGCGACGAGAGGCTATAGTAAAAAAATGTTTAATAATTAGAGAATGAGTTAATTAAGTTGCGAGCATGTGAGCAAGCGTGATGCTTAACGATGAAAGTACTTTTAATCTACAGGCACGGAGTCAAGCAGCCTAGGAACCCTTGGCCCGACGGTCCTGAAAACATTACACAGTGCCCCATCCCTGCGGGAACGAGCTTCACTCAAGAACTTTCCTTTTCCGATGAAGAAGGGACGCTCTGGTGGCATGCCCATAGCGACTGGTCACGTGCCACAGTCCACGGTGCCATCCTCATATATCCGAAACCCGGAACCACCTACCCTTACACTAAGCCATACAAGGAAGAGCTAATTATTCTCGGTATATTCACACTCTATTCCCATTAGAATGTTACACGAGCTGCTGCTTCTTTTTTCTTTTCCTTCTCTTCCGTCTTGACTACAGATGTTAGCTTTTGTCAATCTTCAATATAATGACGATGAGGACTTGTATGCTTCTCTTTATGCCAGGTGAATGGTATAACGGAGATGTGATGGCCATAATTGACGAGGCACTCGAAACCGGCGGCGATCCGAACATATCGGATGCGTTCGCCATCAATGGTCAACCGGGAGATCTATATGATTGCTCTAATGGTACTAATTCAATTTATATGACTTTCCTCTGATTTGTTGCAAAAACAAATATTGAATTTTACTTTGTTGGTCGAAAGTGTACCATATTCAATAGTTCCGTGCCTTTGAAGTTATGTTGGTTACATAAATGAATATACACATATATTTATGTTGGGCCATCAGTTAGACTCCAATCTGGATCTAGAGGGAGAGGTGACGATGTAAAATAATAACAATAATAGTAATAATCTGTGAACAAGGTCAAGAAGGTGCGAGTTCTTACTCTACAACAAGCAATTCCATTTTCTGCTTGGTCTTATACGAATAACGAAAATTTTTGCTTCTCTAATGTCATGAACAGGGGACGACTTGCCTCATTTGATCACTAACCACGCATAGAATTTTTGTTGCAGCATCAACATACCGCCTATTGGTCGATTATGGTAAGACGTACCTTCTCCGCATCATCAATGCGGCGATGAACGAAGAAATGTTCTTCGGCATCGCGAAACACAACCTTACGGTGGTTGGAATGGACGGAGCGTACCTAAAACCCATCAATACCGATTACATAATGATAACTCCCGGACAAACCATGGATGTTTTGGTCATGGCGAAACAATCTCCTAGCCATTACTACATTATGGGAAGCCCTTTCGCAGATACAACCGCTCCCTTCGACAACACTAGCACGACGGGGATCTTTCAGTACAGTGGCAACTACACTCCGCCGTCAACCCCGTACTCTCCATCTCTCCCGGCTTATGATGACAAGGATGCCGCAGGCAATTTCACGGTCCGTTTGAAGAGTTTAGCAAGCAAACAGCACCCCGTTAGTGTCCCGTTGAAAATCACTGAGCGGATCTTCATGACAGTTTCCGTCAATCAAATATATTGCGCGAATGAGTCGTGCTCTGGTCCGGACGGAAATAGGCTATCAGCCAGCTTGAACAACATCAGTTTCGTGACTCCTACGATTGACATTTTACAAGCATATTACAGGTAATGCACGAAAGACATTTGATATAGATTTCAAGTTAAAAATCTCATTATATGATGGATGATATGACACGGTACAAATTGAATTTCTAAATACAAATCATGTTGATATAAAGTTTAGGACAAATCATGATGGACTAACGCCAATCGGGCGATTCTTATTTTCAACAGCCAGATCCATGGAGTGTATAACAGTACTTTTCCGAGCATACCGCCTTATTTTTTCAACTTCACCGGCGATGTGGGCAATAATACGATATACCCTAGCCAAGGGACGAAAGCGAAGATGATCAAATATGGGTCGGCTGTTGAAATAATTTACCAAGGGACCAACGTCGGTGCCGCGGAGAATCATCCGATGCATCTGCACGGCTACAGCTTCTACGTGGTAGGAATGGGCAATGGAAATTTCGACAACAAGACTAGTCCAAAGACATACAATTTGCTCGATCCACCCTTGGTCAACACAATCGGACTTCCCAAGAATGGTTGGACGACAATCAGATTCGTCGCAGATAATCCAGGTACTTCACTTGTCAAGCTCACAAGTCAAAGAATCATTACGCATTGTGTCTCTCAAAGTGCCTTGCTTCATGGAATCACAACTTCATCTATCATTTTATTTTCTCAAAAACTATCGACGTCGGCCCGACGTAATTCAGATGTAAGCCTTTGTATTCTGGCTTCATCACGCTCATGGTCGTCGTTTTCTTTCAGGGGTATGGTTTATGCACTGTCACTTGGAGCGACATGCTAGCTGGGGCATGGACACGGTTGTCATCGTCACAGACGGTCCGGCTAAGACGAACAAAATGCGCGAACCGCCGGCTTATATGCCTCCTTGTGCCAAGCCCTAAGGAAAAGAAGGAATTTGCAACCTACTTTTGTGCTTGACCAAGCGTGCTTGATCTTGATTTTGAATAAAAAGTCAACATGACCAAATGGATTGTGAGCTTGTGTGAGAACTGTTCTGGCTATAAAACTGTAGCATATGCAATATATCGAATGTTCATCCTCTCTCTCTCTCTCTCTCTCTCTCTCTCTCTCTCTCTCTCTCTCTCTCTCTCTCTCTCTCTCATGAAAGCACAAGGAAAGGAACTTTGAGTTAGTAGATGCCATATACCCTTGCGTGAAAAAGCAAAGCTGCCTTAGCTTATTTATGTCTAATCGTTTCTTTTTGAAGGTATTCTTGCGAAAGTTCCTATGGCTCAACTTATCTTGATATTCCACTCCGCGCACTAATCAATAGTACCAAGATTTTCAATGACCAAAGCGAAAGAAATATCAACAGTCGATGTGATATGACTGATGCTCACCCCGAATTCGTGACTATCGTAAAGTGACGAGATACATTAGTTATTTCCTAGTAAATGCACTGTCCACCATCTTCTAAAAGATAGTCTAGAAGTCCGACTTCACTAATCAAGAAGGAAAATCCCTGCCTGATCCGAATGTTGATTTTTCATAGAGCACCTAATAATGATTTAGGAAAGATGGCTCTTGAATGCTTTGAAATCAACTTACGAGTTTGGATTTTAATCTAGCCATTTAAAAAAATCATTATACACACATGGCAAAAGCGCCGACACATATATAGTTTTAATTTTGGTGAATGAATTCATTTCATAAGTAGACGAGCGTTTCCATTACATTTCATGACTATGTATGTCACGCCCCGAACCCCAACGAGCTCGCGACATCCCCTGCTCCGGTCGAAATGATGCGACGTCCCAGGAACGTCGCCGACCCAACCCAAACATCAGAGCGACATGCGGAAGCGAATAACAAAACCCCGGACAAATAATGACGACAACGGGGTAGAACAACAGAACAATCTAGCAACCACATATTCATACAACACCAAATATACAAACATCATATTACAGACATAAATATAGACTAATATCCTCAGTCACCGTTTAAACAAAAGTTCAGGGGTTTAGTTATCTTAACTTCACTATCGGATAACCTAAGTTATACAACCCCTAAAACACCCTAGGGAAAAACCTAAGGGTCGCCCTCTTCCATTCTGCTTCTGAATTTCTGGCTTGAATCTCTGGAACTTACCTGCAGCACTCCACCGGGCACCAACAAGCAGCTCCCGGACTTCCAAAAAGAAAAGGCGCACTTCCGGGTTTAGGGCCGGGTTCGAAAGTGGCGGTTATACAACCGTGAGACGAATCTCAATAAGTGTACAACCCCAAACCCCACGTAGGCACTCACGTACCGCCAGACGAAAACACACATAACACACAACGATCGGCCAAACTAACAATCACATGCGACTCTACCTGGAATCCATCACGCGCGTTCCTGCACGTTAGACAATAACACAGCCCAACACATCACAAGCAAGGAATCACAGATGCGCGCGTGCCTTAATTATAAGACAGAAACCACTTGGGCACTTCCCATACCGTGCCTAGCAGTTTCTACCCCATAATTAAGCATCACATCACGCGATACAAACACACTCGCACGCTACTCACACCATGCGTCACTTTCCACAATCCTCTCGCTTGTCTTGCCAAATCCCACTCATTCTCAACCTTTCCACCACTACCGCGCCCGCGTAAAACGCATCAGGCCAACGGTCTTCTGATCTCGTCAGGCATCGTCACCCCATCGGGCCGGGCATCGTCACCTCGTCAGGGACGGCATCGTCCCGCGTAAACGTACACGCCTCAGGACGGAAACCTACACACACTTTCCTTCTACCGCGCCAGCGTAAAACGCATCAGGCCAACGGTCTTCTGACCACGTCAGGCATCGACACCTCGTCAGGCCGGTCATCGTCACCTCGTCAGGGACGGCATCGTCTCGCGTAACGTACACGCCTCAGGACGGACCTTTCCAACCAAACCACATTTCCGTACCCTCGTTCCACTCAAACCACACTTGCCACGCCACCACACAAACACACTGCCAAACATACACACTTCACACACAACCTCATCACACAAACACCGCACGAACACCCAATCACACATTGTTGGCACGCGAATACAATACGCGAATGCACTACCACACCACCACACTTCACGGCCACACACACGCGACACATGGCCAGTCCACAATCAGCCCAAGCACAATCCCAAATCAGCCACAACCACACAGTCATATCACAACACACACGATCAACACACAAACTGGCATTTCTCCACACCCAAACGTTATCAAATCAGTTCAGGCCCTTCACGGCAATTTCACAAAATCTCGGGCCGGACCTAACAGTACCAACCACATGACAAACAGCACCCCACAGCACCTAAAACCACACATCACAGCCATCAATCAGTCTTTTCCGCCCTCAAAATCACCATATCTCACTCCCGGCTCTTCACAGCACTTTTATAAAATTACGAGCCGGTCCTAATGGTACTAACCGCGTATTGAACAGCCACTCACAGCACATCACACGGCATATCACAGCCAGCAAACAGTATTTTCTGCACCCAATTTCATCCCGATCAATCTGCAACATCACAGCCTTAACTCAGCCTCCTAAACCTCGAAATTTCATCGCCAAATCAGTCCACGACAAACCAATTTCCAGCCCTCGATTCAGTCCCGAAATAGCCACAAAAATAGCCCCTAAAATGCCTAAATCGAGTCCTAAACGGGCCTAGAAATACCCGAGGTCCTAAATGACATTTGGGGAAAACACTTACCCAAAAAGGCGAGACAGAACGGGGCTGGAACGGGCCGGAACAGCAGCAGCAGCGGGAGCGGCGTCGCCGGCGACGTACGGACGGCGCGAATAGTGACCGTACGGACGCGATGAACAGTAACTTCCTTACGGACACTGTGCGGACAGGTGCGGCCGGCGTCGTACGGCGAGGCTGGACGGCTGGGTGGTGACGGAACAGCGATCCGAGCTCTGGCGAAGCTCCGGCGGCCCTTTTTGCCGGACGGGAAAGAGAAAAAGAGGGAGAAAGAGAGAGAAAGGGAGAGAGAAAGATCGGCCAGGGCAAGGCTGAGGCTGAGGGGGCTGAGGTGGTCCACGGCGGGGCACGGTGGCCGGCGGCGGTGCTCCGGTGGCCGGCGACGAGCTCCGGCGAGCCAAACAAGAGAGGAAAAAGAGAGAAAATGGAGGAGGAAGAGCTGGTCTGTGATGGTTCTGCCGAGAGTGAGGGTGAGGAGAGAGAAACTGATCTGGTTTTGGTCAAAAATAGCAGTCCAAAGCGCCACGTGTCGCCGATCCGGGCCGTTTGACCAAAATACCCCTAATCTAACGGTTCTAATTAAATCTTATCCAAAAAGTGAGGGGTAAAAGGGTCAATTGTCCAATAATTGAGCTGATATTTTCAGACCTGAATATCCCAAAATTATCCCCAAAATTCGGAACTGAAACGGGTCCAGGGGCAAAATTGTCATTTTTCCGGTCCCGGGGCGAAATTCCAATTTTCGCACGTACGCGTTCCATATGTGCGTGGCCAACATAATATGGCGTCGGATTCGCGAAATTCATTGCGCAAGCCCTCGAAAATTGACTGCAAAGTTCCGGGAATAAAGTAATATTATTTTTTCAATTTTTGTCGAAATTCCAATTTTTGGCCAAAACCACTCTAAATGTGCGTGGCCACCCGAAAGTGACCTTGGCCGCGAAAAATAACCTCAAACGGCCTCCGAATCCAGCCTTGGTGCCCACAGGGGCAAAACCGTAATTTTTCCGGCCCCGGACCGAAATCCATTTTTTTTTTGCAGAAATGGGTGGCCCCAAGGTTGGCCAAGCCAAAAACGTCATCGGCCACTCAAAATTGTCACTTTCAAAATTCTCGATTCCCGGGCCCGAATTTCAAGAAATGACTAAAATCGAACAATCGCAACTTTAGCTTATCTCTAGCTAACGGGTGGCTCATTGGGATTACGCGCTCTCGACCCGTGACTGACACTAAGTCAAATCACGTTTAAGTTTACTCCACCCGAAACGACCTCGATTGTCATATAATTGCGAGGGTCTGTCGCTAGTTCCCTTCGGACACGATCAATCAAGTAGACCGGTCTCGGTTGGCTCAAAACATTCCCTCGTCAATTCATATGGTCGAAGATCGAACCCAGGTCGAGTTCTTTGGTCGTGCGAACTCAATCCCGTAACGGCCCTACCCCTAAGGTTATATCCCGTGAATGCGCATTTCCGGGTGAGATTTCACTACAAGTGCATTGGCCAAAATATTCATTTCATAGAACCCGGGAAAAGGATCGAAAATTCAGACTGTTACAATGTATGTAAAAAATAAATTACACCGACGATAGATTTCTTATTTGTTTTTCTCTTTCTCGGTTTTCTGTGTAAGCTCCGTCCATGTATAGTCTTGTAATACAACTGTTGAGGATCTTTGCTTCCTTGGATGATCGAAACAGATTAGCTTCTTCAAAACCTTAGAAGAAGTCCTTTCATAAGACCTAAAGAATTGTTCTTTTCCAAAGGTCCTATCAATGAGACATGAGCCGCCCTATGCGGGTTTACCTAACTTTCTGTACTCATCGGACCACGTGAATGACCAATCTACATTGCACATTCACCCTTTCTTTTATAATGGAATTTAACATATTAAAAGAAGAGAACTAAAGGTTGGATGCTCTAATTGATGGCCAATAGAATTCCCCCAATTTGTAAAAGTACAATATTGTTGTGTCACTAGTCATCTTCTAGCACTGATCCGGTCGATAGTACTGTAATTTATTGCTTCATTTCCACGTGGCCGTATAATGTCTTTTCCATTCCCAAATAATGTTCAATAACGTCTTGGGTGTAAGTATTATTTCTTCTAATCACTAATCATCATTATATAGGATTTTGAGTAATTATTAATCTTTGCGGTGCGCTAATCAATCCTTCCACAAAGGAAATTTCATGTCCGCATATTGCTATTGTTCTATGTAAGAAATACAGACTTTTTCTTTTGCGTTGGTGAAATTTAATAAGTATTGATAAATGACAAAAACTGTTAA